TACTGCTATTAATTTAATGGATTAAAACAATATTAACTGATAAGGCAAAAGCTGAAGGGCAGGCATGTCAGAAAATGCATGTCAATTACCTGTAGTACGGGCTTGTTCCACTAGGTGGAGCCTTGTCTGATACAGTAGCGAGGCAGTCACTCAGAATAAGGGAAGGTAGTGGTAGCAAGTAGAGAGCACTGTGGGAACCAGGTGAACCTGCCTTCACCCTGAGTCAGCTGGGATAGACTCCAGCCCCCCACGACCCTAGTGAAGATGACGCGGTGTGTAGTTGATGGATGGATGGATGTTGTAAATTAGCTGTTGTACCTGGTTGCTCCACCAAGTAGAGCCTCTAACTATTTAATAATGTAGGAGACGGTCACTCAGAATACATTGCATTGTCGGATATAATAAAGATTTCTGTAGAGGTTAATGACCTCTAGCCACAACTTCGAGATGAGATGAGTGGCAAATACCTTGTTTGTGGTTAGAAATAGCTCTACCAGTATATTGAATAATGTCCACTTTACTTAATTTGTTTTAACAATTATTTGATTATTGATGGACACTGACTGACACTGAAATTTGCATGCTTAAGTCAAACTAAAACATCTAAGTTAAAAAAAATAATCCAGTTTCAGCCATGTTAGGTTCTTTTAATTATTTTGATGTTTGTTCACATACGTCTGATCGATTTGTTATTGATTAGTTTTTTGATCCCTTTATTGTGCGTCACTGTGCTCATGTGATGTCTCAAAGCTACTGAACATCCACAGCGTATTTAAACTCTACACATGCAGACACTTTACATTCAAGACTAGGGGGTAAATTTGCCTTTTGAACAGGCTGCACAGAAAATGTAAATGGACATGAAATAAACTTCATGAGCTCAGACTTTGAGAGCCTTAAACTGATTTGACTGTCAAACTGGTACCAGATCAGATCAGGAAACAAAACAGCAAGCAGCACCCACACGAATACTGCCGCAGCAATCAAACCCAGTGCTACAGTCAAACACCACATATCTGCATTATACCCTATGAATTATTAGAAAATCACATAAAAATGAACACTTGGTGATGCACAATGGTCACGGAGAGATGCCGAAGACCACAGTCACAAAATGAGCACAAAGACGAGAGAAACAGCCACAAGAGACATAAGCATTACCACGAACACAAGCTAAGTCCACATTCAGTGCATGTTCTTCAGAACATTATTGTTAGTTTCCCCAAACTGCACCCTGGAGACACCCACAAAATATTTAAAGTATCTACCCACTCGTTCCCCAAGTTCCTCCAATGTGCTTTTTCCACTGTGCGTTCATTTAGTCAGCAGCAAGCATTTATAAAGTTATAAAGTGTTTCATTGTTACCTGGTTCCAAAGAATTCACACTTATTGCTGTCAACATCAAAATAAAAATTGTTTGATTTCTGTTTTTTCCGTCTCCAGAATCCACAGCCATTCAACCTGACAACAGCACCGGCAAGGCATTCTACATTGTCTTTCCAGAGAACATTGCCTACTATCATCCCACTGCACCCGTAAACCGCATCTATGTCTTTGCCTTACATAACAACACAAAGATAGGCATCACACACCCCTACCATCAAGACACCGTCAACTTACAAGCTGGAGAAAGTCGTGACTACACTCTGAAAGCAAAACTGGAACTCAATAAGACAGAAACCTCTCCTAACGTTCTTGAAATTACAAGCAATGAAGAAATCATCGTCCAGGCCGTTAGCTTCAGAAGCTACAGCGTGCAGACTGCTCTGGTTATACCCACTGAGAAGCTCGGCAAAAAGTACTTCATCCCACCGGTACCCACAATCCAAGGATCCAGCGACACTGCCACTGGAGCCACCCCATTGGTAACAGAGCGAGGCCCGTTCAGACTCATTATTGTCAATGGTGACCAAGCTAACAAAGTAACTGTCGAAGGTCAAAACTCCAAAGACCTTCCTCTTCAGCCCAAACAGGCCACTCAGATCTGGGTACAAGAAAGTGACGCTTTGCGAGTTGTGCAAGCTGAACAGCCAGTGGCGGTCCTGTTTGGTCACCCATGTGTGATGCACAGCGAATGCACCTGTAGCCTGCTGTACACCACGTTGCTGCCAGCCAGAGATGAGAAGCTGAAATTCTTCGTCCCTTCAGCTTTCCCCTGGGAAAGTGAAGAAGCAACAAATATTCTCCTATCAGAGACAGGATCTGCCAAAATACAGGCCTTTAACCCAAACTCGCCACTGATCGAGGTAGCCGGCACAGCGATCTTGCACCGTCCAAAATTACTCCTCACTCTGATCCCGGAGACGGACTTCGCCTGTTGTTTTGTTGTCGCCGCCATCCCCGACATGAAAAACTATGCTGTGATCGTGGTGCACAAGGATGAAACTGACGGGGTTCATGTTGGAAGCGATCCTCTGCAAGCTTCACAGTGGAATGCATTGAAAGGGACAGAGTACGTCTCGACAAAAACTGATTTGCCGAAGACAAACACACTGACCAAGAACCTCATCTGGCATGCTTATTCGAAAATGGCTGTCTACTTCGTGGGACACAACGATAGTACCATGTTTGGAAACCCAGCACCTGTTATCAGCAAATCCTCAGGTATGGAGCCACACAGTGTGCCACCTTTAAGTTCAGGTCTACATAGTCCTTCAAGTAAAGCATACATAAAGAAAGATTCAGAAAACCTTTTAGCCCTAAAATGAGTGTGTTGCAGTTTGCATTTCCACACTCATTAGGGCTGGGCGATGAGTCTGACCACACTCAGGACCAGCTTGTACAAAGTTTCAGTCATAAACTCAGTTTTTAAAACATTACCTGTAACCAAACAAACAATGAGCTAATGACAAGCTTCATGGAAGTAACATAGCGGTTGCTGCATAAGCAAGTTGGCAGGGAAATGCTCATGGTGGCAGCTTGTTTCAGAGCAGACCAACACACCGTTTTTACCCAAACAACAAACGACAAACACGTTGATGATGGCTCCTTGTCAAAAATGTCCTTCAAATTCACTCTGTTTTCTTTCTTTGCACTCCTGAGCAGATTTTAGGGGTTGCGTCTTGCGTCCGGAGGTCATAAAAATCGGAGACACTGCAGAAGGCTGGCGTGAATCTCTGAGTTACTGCCAAGCGGAGGACATGGATCTGCTCTCCTTCTCTGAGGCCAAAGTCCAGGAGCAAACCTCCAAGAGAGTGTGGGAGGTCAGCAAGGGCGACCTGTCGGAGGTATGGATAGGCATGCGTCAGAGCACCCTCAACGCGCAGTGGTACTGGGGGAACAACGATACGGTTAACATCACCAACTGGCAAAAGGATGAGCCCTCGGCAGACACCCACCGCCAGTGTGTCCTTATGGATCTGAAAAACGCCCAGGGCTTCTTCTGGAGGAGTGAGCACTGCTGTAATGCCTTCCATCCCGTCTGCTACACAAAGCCGAAGCTCGTTAAGTAGTGGCACCATCAATGAAATAGTCTAATTAGTCTCATCTATCACCATAGGGTAGCTGCCATGCTCTGTTATAAATATTATTAGGCTATTAGAACTGATTAAAGTTCTGTTTAAGTCACTGATTTATATCTGAATGTGGATTGCTCAACTTGAATAACTGTATTAAAGCTGGAGTTTGAATTAGACAGACTCCGTCGGACTGAACATGAGAATGAACGTCAAACAGAGATTTAGATTTTCGGGGACAATCAATCATCGTCTGAGCAACTGAATCCAGTTTCAGTGCAGTTCAAGTATTGTTTTTGAATTATTCAAGTTAGACGTTTCAGTTTTCGTACCATTTCTCACACTAACCAACGCAAATGCAAATTGTATAATTCAGTTTTTATTAAAATTAAACAAACCGAACAATTCAATTTTTACTACAATCTCTGAGGTTATCTATTACAAACGGAAATTATGTGAATCAATTCAAATGTTTTCATAAATTGTTCCAGTTAAACGAATACATTTTTATAGTTTGTCAAGTTAAACCAAAACAATTTTACTTTTGTGATTTAAATGCAGTGTTTTAATTCTGTTATTCAAGTTAAACAACACTAGTTGTGTGAAAGCTGTTGTTGGTCAGACGTGTTGTAATGAGGTGACTCAACTTTTATGCAAATTTCTAACAAACTTAGAAAGGATTTTTTTTTTTGTTAATCCTATATATATATATGTTGCTGGACATGAGCATAACAGAACATGTAGTTGTTGTATTTTAGCAGAAATTAGCTCGCATGTGTTGAATGTATCTGAATTTAAAGACACATATTGCAGTTATTTTAAGATGAAGCGGTTTGTAAATACTGTCTAGTTTTTAAAATCTTCTTTGCAGTCCCGCTTCAACGTAGAACCTCCCGTGTGCCTTGTGTTTAACTTTATTATTTTTATGTTGCTGTGGCTGGATTGTTATTGAGTAGCTGTAAGAAAACGTACGCTTGCATCCACTGGTGGCAGATTTGAAGTTAATTGAATATGTTGTGGTGTTTGTAGCGGGGTTAATTACTGCAGTGTGACACTAATGGAGACACGTTTCATTGAGACTTATTTTAAAAATGTAAACATAGACTTTTTTAACTGATGGGTGAAAGGATGTAATATTTACCAGTTTGTCAATTTTCATTGTAAAAATCACCATTAAATACACGTAAAACTGGACTTCTGATGTTTTTATTTCCCACAAGCACAAGCCAGTTCAATAGTTTTCCTGTGGTTTGCACCAAAGGGATCAATAAAGTTCTATTCAGTCCAAAAACATTTAAAACCATTTATATTCATGCGGTTTTTTTTTGTCTGATGTTAAGGTTCTTGTATCACCAACAGTCTGTTTAAAGCTGTAAAATGTAGTTAGCACCTTAAAGTGCAAAGAGAGGAATTAGATTTTTATCATTCGTGAAATAATCCCTGGACAACAAATAACAAATATGAACAATAAAATGTAAAGCTCATAAAATAGGACAGATCAATGGACAAAACTAAACTGAATAACAGAAGTTCATGAGCAGATGTTAGGACATTATAAGTGTTTATTAATGTACGGCTTTTATTCTAAATGCTTCTTCTCTACATCAGAAAAACAAAAGTGTCAACTGGAAACACACATGGTTCTTCAAAGTGACGCCATAAAACCATTTCCAGAAAGATGTTCTGTCTTCAAACGGTTCTTCAATGAACCCCCAAAGGTGCCTCAAACAACAAATGGCTCCTTTATGGAACCATAGATATAGTGCTCCAAAGAACCTTTAAAAAAAAAATAGGTTCTTTAAGGAATCATTTTCAAAATAGCTCTCACCTGGTTGAGTTTTTGCAGCCGGTCTTGAGAATCTTTTAGGTCGTTTAATCAAAAGTATGAATTTCTGGGGTCCTTACGTTTGTTATTTGGGGTTTTAGACTGTTGATCAGACAGAACAAAAAGTTACACAATAAACTGCGACGGACATGTTTCACTGTTTCATGACATTTTATTGACCAAATGATGGAACACTAATGAAAATAATTGCTAGTTGCATCTTTAATTTTATGCTAATGTCTGCCACCAAATCAAATAACCTTTAGTGCTTTAAAGAACCACATGAAGTACAAGAAGAACCTCCTAAATGAAGACGTTCTTCAAATGGTGGTGATGCTTTGAAGAACCAGAGAGATTTTATTTTTCTGAGCGTATGAAAATATATTTCTATCATTACACACACGAACAAGCATTTAGATCAGCTCACAGCGACATGACATTCTGTCCTAATCCACACATGGATTATGTTACATATATATAGATATAAGTGTTGCAGGTTATTTGGCCCAACAGCTGACTCCCTGCAGAGCTCCACCCTGCACCACCCAAACGCCCATCCCCACCAGCAGCAGGACTTTGGCACCCAGAGACAGCGACAGGAGGAGAAGCAGTGGAGGCGAGGCTCCGGTCATGGACATGGGGGGCCGGGGAGGCAGGACGTACAGGGTGGCCTGCTCTTTGCCCAGCGGGTTGGAGGCGCTGCAGGTGTACTGCTGCCCCGGCTCCACGTCCCTCAGCTGGCTGACGGTGTGGAAGTGAGTGGCGGAGCCCTGAGAAAGAGGCCCGACCAGAGAACCTTCCAGAAGCTCGTCCGGGCCGAGCCACTGGACGTCGGGCAGCGGGGAGCCCTGAACCCGGCACAGAGCTGTGTAGCCGGACTGCTCACTGCCCTCCACGGCCAGGGCCAGGATCTTTGGAGGAGCTGCAGGAGGAACACAGGAGTTAGTCTTCTTAAAGCCTTTATTCACCGAAAGTAAGTCGGAAAAGACAAGTTAAAAAATGGTGACATTAAAAACTGTGAAATAATGACAAATAGTTATATTTTTAGCGTATAGACAAACGGTACACTTGTATGGTCACACAGTGGAAAAGAACAAATTAGCATATATCCTTTTTTTTTTTTAAATTTACAGCCAACATGTAATTAATACCTTTTCCTGTGATTTTACTATTATTGTGCTGATTATATGTCATTTAACAAAACAAGAAAGATCTCTAAAATAACAGTTACTAATTCTTTACATTATTACATTTTCAGTCCTTAATAGACTGCACAATATTTTCCTTTCAAATAACGGCACATGTTTATAAAACAATACATTTTAATTTACCAGTTTAAATACAGTAAAAAAGTTGTTTCACTTCATCGTCAAATAATAAAAAAAGGAACAAAATACTAATTGTAATGACGGTTTTTACTGGTTAACCTGTAAATTAAAACTTTCTGCTGTGATTTTAATAGTTATTATCTGAAAAAGGAAAATCAGTAAAATGAAAAAAACAAAGACTGTAAATTGTGAGGAGAAAAAACAGCAATAAAAAAAAAAAATCAATTTTTTACAGGGTACATGAATGGTTGCAAAAAGATCAAATTTGCCTTTTTAGATAAACCTTTTAATTTATTTTAATGAGCTGGGTCAATATAAAAATATAAACTCACATTAAAAAATGAGAAACTACTACATGGAATAACGACTTTAGCTGCCGATCATTAAATAATTAAAACTACCTTTGATTACAAAAGGAAGAACTGGTTCTTCTGTAACACAATGCAGTTTGTTGGTTGAGCATATTTTAGTTGAAACTGTCTGGACTTTAAAAAAAAAAAAAAGTATGCAAACTGTTTGTTTAAATTGTCTTTGTTGAGCTGAAACATAACTTTTTAGAGACTTAAATGTGGGTCAGTCGATAAAAAATGACCCAAAACCTGGAAATAGTTCTCGCTTTTCCCTTCTGAAACAACTGAAACTTTTAATTTGTGTTAGTTTTTCAAGCATTTTAAAAATTTTTCCTGCACCAGTTGGTTCCAAATAATTGAACCTGAAAGAAATCATCATCATCAACAAAACAAAGTCACTGTTTGGACTTTTAAAGGATTCAGTGTTTGACTTCATAAATGTTGAAGGTGCAGTGTTTTGGACCGTACCCTCCACTCTGAGCCTGGTCCCCATCTTGTCCTCGAAGCTGACGTGCTCTCGGCCCTGAACCTCCACCCGGCAGTAGTAGCGCCCGCTGTCCTGCAGGGTGGCGCCGTTGATGCGCAGCGACAGGTCGTGCTCACGCGGGTTCCCCTCCAGACGGTAGCGTTGGTCCTGCTGCGGGCCCGGCTCACAGGTGGGGGTTCCGGGCCGGCTGGTGCAGCGGTACAGGACGGTGGCGCCGACGCCGTGGCCCAGACGCCACAACACTTGCAGGGAGGAGTGCTGCGAGTGCTGGGGGTGGCTGAAGGTGCAGGGCAGCACCACCGGGTAGCCCTCGATGCCTCGCACCTCCGAGTGCACCTTCATGGACCAGCCGTCGTCTCCGGAGCCGAGAGTTGCTGCTCAAATATTTACCCAGAGAGACACGGTAGTCACTTTAATGGCAAAACAAATACACCAGAACGATCCTTTAAGTTAGTTCAGTTGGATTTACACCCTCGTTATTTACGTTTTTCTCACTAAAAGCGACTTTAACCATTTAGTGAGCCACACTTCTTACACTTCTGCTTTACTTGTGGTCTACAGAGGAATCTGAGAGGCTGCTTCTGTCCGAAACACAACAGCTAATCCACAGAGATCTCATTCTGACAGATTTAAGGTGATTTAAATGAAATCAGCTCACCTCCTATAAGAGACAACAGCAGAGTGCTGCAGACCAACCGGGCGTCCATGCTGAGACCACTGAAGAGACGAGGAGGCAGGACGGCTGCTTCATGTGACTCAGTACCTCCCAGACACATCCCATGTTTTTCCATTCTTCTATTTATATTTCCTTTATGTCTCTGTTGTGTGCTAGTATGAGGAAATCAGTTGTCTATGTCAATAAATCCAGTAAGAACCTACAGGAGAAACACATTTAACTTTAATTCCAAAAAACAAACTCAACAGTCTTTGATGTACTGCGTGTACCAGCAGTAGTGGACGAAGTACTCAGATGTCTTTTTACACACTGACTGATATCTATTCATAATAAAACCTCTGAATTTATTAGCAGATAGGTTTTGTATTAATAACTGAAAATAAAAAGTTACAGGCAGCAAATAGCATCTCCTGGTAAGCAGTGAGCAATTTCAGTCTGGCACCAAGCATCCTCAGATCATCCATCCATTATCTCTACACCTTAATCCTCATTAGGGTCATGGGGGGCTGGAGTCTATCCCAGCGGACTCAGGGTGAAGGCAGGTTCACCTGGACAGGTAACCAGTCTATCACAGGGCTACACTTAGAGACAGACAACCAAGCACACTCACATTCACACCTATGGACAATTTACAATCACCAATTAACCTCAGCATGTTTTTGGACTGTGTGGGAGGAAGCCGGAGAACCCGGAGAGAACCCACGCTGCACGGGGAGAACATGCAAACTCCACGCAGAAAGATTCCGGTGCCCCCACCGGGACGTGAACCGGCGACCTTCTTGCTGCGAGGCAACAGTGCTAACCAACAGCCCCAGCCAAATCAGCAACTGCCAATGCTTGACTAACAAGTAGCAATTTCCAGGCAAGCAACTAGCAATCTTAGGCTACCAACTCAGAATTTCAGGCTAGCACCTAACATCCCCAGATCAGCAGCTAGCAATCTTAGACTAGCAACTAGCAATTTCAGGCTAGCAACTAGCAATTTAAGGCTGGCAACTACCATCTCTGGATTGGCAACTACCAGTCTTAGGCTAGAAACTACCAATTACGGATTGGCAAGTAGCTTCGGCTAGCAACAAGCAATCTCAGTGAAGCAGCTATAAATCCCAATCTAGCAACTAGTATCTCTAGGAACGTAACTGGCAATCTGAGACTAGTAACCAGCAATTTCAGGCTAGAAACCAACGTCTCGTGGTTAACACCGAACAACCTTTCACTAGCAATCACCAATCTTAAGCTAACAAGTAGCAATGTTAACATAACAGCTACCATCTGTGTGTTCACAAGTTTTCATGTTAGGCTGGCAACCAGCATCTCCAGCTGAGCAACTAGCAATCGTAAGCTATCAACAGCAATCTTAGGCCAGAAACTAGCATCAGCAGGTTTGAAACTGGTAATCTTACGCCAACAACTAGCATCTCTAGAATAGCAACTAACAATCCAAGTCTAGTCAAGTGTCCAAATCTAATTGTTTTTGTTATTGATTCTTCTACCAGTTATTTTTAAAACTTTATCTGCTCTGTATAATGGAAAAAGTTTCACACATTTCTTTTGTGAACAGTAAGCGACCATTAAAGTACATACAGCACGTTTCAAATTAGAGACTGATAGTACCATGTTGTAGGAAACTTCCTGCTTAAGAGCAAATCTGAAAAAACAAAGTACTTCTGATCAAGGGGTGAATTTATAGGGGGAGAAAAAAACGTATGTAAAATAATATGTATGCTAAGAAAATGTTTTCAAATGTTTTGTTATATGGACATTAAGTGAAATAATAATTCTGTAGCTGCTTGTTGATGTATTTAGTTGAAGTGACCTGTGGCCTGCTTCTCTTTTACTTCTTCTTTCTAACTGACTGGAAATATGTAGTTTACATATGACACACTTCACACCACTTCCTGCATTTACACTTTTCGTTTGAGAGTCTGACCTTTGTGTGTTTGCGTCTTATCAGCCAGAGGATGTGGCAGCAGACTCTTGTCCTGTCTGTGATCATCACCGGTAAGATACTTCTAATTAAGAACAATGAGAGCAACCAAAAGCCTTAGAAAACATCTTTAATAGGGGAGAAACATTTGATTGAAAGAGGAAACGTATTTTTAAGCTCATCAATGTATATAAAAAACAGAAGTGGTTATTGTGACATCCTCCACTGGTTTTACAAGCACCATTGTAAAGCCTCAAAGTTTGGCATTTGGCCATTGCTATTTGGTTTATTGCTTCTATTTTCCTCTAAATGGGAACACGGTTTATTAAATTAACATGTGTTGAAGGAGAGTTGAAACTAGTGATTGAGACCATAAACGTATTAACAAAATGTTTATTAAGGTAGCAGACGAAGTTACAAGCAGCTTTATTTTCTACTCAGTACGATCAAACTTCTTTTTATAGAGGAGTCGCCTCCTGCTGGCTGTTAGATGGAATGCTGGTTTAAAGTACCTCTTAGTTTATCAGCAGAACAACTTGTCTTTGGTTCTTGAAGATGCTTCGTTCAGGAGGCGCGCTCAGTTCTAACTGACACATGTGGAGTCCCCGGTATTTCTTCTCGACCCCAAATCCAGTCCTGTCTCCAC